TTGATATTTGGTAGAACAAGAAATTGATTACTTAGATAATCTACAGACAGACTAAAAATAGTAATACCCTTCAACTGGGGAAATGTGGGAGGGAGCTGGGCACTAATCGTAATGAAATGAGAGTGATTCTTTCTTTAGTCTTCTTTCTCCCTCTTTTCTTCCATGGCCTCCTGTTTGCACCCGGGTTTCACCCACTCCCTCTGTCCACTCATTCATTTAACATGTGAGTACTGAGCTGGCATAGGGCCAGACTCAGAGATGCCTAAGCCTGGGTCCTGGCCCTCCAGGAACCTCCGCCTGGCAGAGGACACAGACTTGTGAACACTGCAGTGGCACAAAAGGGACTCCCAGTCCAGAGAGTGGGCATTTGCCCAGCTGGCCTTTGCTCCCAGCTTCTTCCTTGGTCTCAGTACTGGGCTCAGCACAGAGCTCCCAGTGGCAGAAAAATGGGGAAGGGTGATAGGAGACGCTGGCCTGGGGAATTATCCTGCACGACCCCCATCTGGGTGTGAGCACAGGCAGCAACTGAAGATTCTTATTTTAAAATAAAGGAGCTCTAGATGACAGGTGTAAATAATTTTAGTAAGAATTAGTGACAATGCGTTTTCATAACAAATCATCATGGAGTCGTTCTTCATGTATCTGACATGGTCAGGGAGGGAAGAATTTTCCATGTGGGGATTTTCTGGCTGACTGATTTTTACCACTGATTTCAGCAATTGTGGATCAGAATCGTTCCCAGATGAATCACACACCTCCTTGTCTCCTCAAACAAAACACCAGCTGACATTCTGCGGGCCCAAAGGACAGAGCGCATCCATCAGACCCTCCATTCACAGGTGGGCTTTAACCTCTTCCCGAGGACTCAGGGTCAGACCCTCTGTGAGTCCTTCTCATGGCGCTGGACTGGAACACAGTGAAGCCCCCGGGTGCCCAGATAATGTCAGAATCACTCGGATCAGAGGCGGGCCTCTGCAACTCTCTGATTTCAGCCCTGGAGGACCTACTGACCCTCAGCCTAGACTCAGGAAAGGAGGCACACACACTCATGCCCCATGAACAGCCCAGCCTCTCCTTCCCTCTCAGATCCCCAGGGCTTGGGGCCGCAGAGGGGCAACTGCTGTAGAAGAGGCAGGGCATGCAAAGTCCAGCTCAGCCAGGAGCCCCAGCTAGGATGGCTGCTCACCCCAGGAGCCCAGCCCCTGGGGACGGAGAGAGTGCCCCGAGGCAGAGATGAGAACCAAAGCCAAATATGGAGAGGCCCAAACACCACCAATGGGAGTCCATAACAGGGACAAGGGATGGCAAGTGGAATCAATGGAAGGTGACTGTCTCTTATGTTCCTCTCTAAAGAGAGTGCAGTCGGACCTTGGGGACATATGAGGTTGTCCATTACACTGAACAGTGTTTGTGTTTTGAGCTCAAAACAATGGCCCTGGGTAATTTCTAATCTAGCCCTAAATGGAAGCTGTGACAGGGGCTGTTGTGGGCTGAACTGTGTCTCCCCAAAATTCATATGCTGAGGTCCTAACCGCCAGGACCATAGAATGAAACCGTATTTGGAGATAGGGCCTTTTTTTGTTTGTTTATTTTTGAGATGGAGTCTTGCTCTGTCACCTAGGCTGGAGTGCAATGGCACAATCTCGGCTCACTGCAACCTCCACTTCCTGGGTTCAAGCAATTCTCCTGCCTCAGCCTCCCGAGTAGCTGGGATTACAGGTGCGTGCAATCATGCCCAGTTAATTTTTGTATTTTTAGTAGAGATGGGGTTTCACCATGTTGGTCAGGCTGGTCTCAAACTCCTGACCTCAGGTGATCCACCCGCCTCAGCCTCCCAAAGTGCTTGGATTACAGGCATGGGCTACTGTGGGCATAGGGCCTTTAAAGAGGTAATGAAGTTAAAATGAGGCCATTAGAGTGAGCCCTGATCCAATATGACTGATGCCCTTACAAAGAGAGATTAGGGCATAGGCAAGACTCAGACCAGGGGCAACCATATAGGGACGCAGCGAGAAGAAGGCCATTGGCAAGCCAAGGAGAGAGGCCTCAGAAGAAGCCAACCCTGCAGTATCTTCATTTCAGACCCCTGGCCTCCAGAATTGTGGAAGAATTAAGTTTTGTGTACCTTGTTACAGCAAACTGATATAGGACCTAACACCAGCATACAGAAAATACACACGTAGAGGGATGGGAAGTTCCCCAGAAGGATGACCCATTCACAGGATTTCTTAAATCTTCCTGTCCAGACCTTGAAGTAACCATGAAGAAACTATACATTTTATAATTTAAAGAAATTAGTCAGCTGGGCGTGGTGGCTCACACCTGTAATCCCAACACTTTGGGAGGCCAAGGCGGGTGGATCATGAGGTCAGGAGTTCAAGACCAGCCTGACCAAGATGGTGAAACCCCGAATTTACTAAAAATATAAAAATTAGCCTGGCACGGTGGCAGGCACCTGTAATCCCAGCTACTCGGGAGGCTGAGGCAGGAGAATTGCTTGAACCCGGGCGACAGAGGTTGCAGTGAGCCAAGATTGCGCCACTGCATTCCAGCCTGGGTGACAGAGTGAGACTCTGTCTCAAAAAAAAAAAAAAAAGAAAAAAGAAAAGAAAAGAAATGAGTCATTTATTCTCTGAAATCTTGAAGGTGTGCTCTCAACCACAGTGCTCTGGATTTGCACAGTAAAACACGGAAGGGTCTGAAAGCTTTGAATTCTGAGAAGACAGACTCTCTGCTACCGGCTTCTGAACTTGGCTCCGACAGCCATTTTTGCCACTAAATCAAAACTCCTTGGAGGCATGTTTAAAATACCAACCAGCTCACATGCCCCAGGCCCTGCTTAAAACCTTTCCTGTGGCTCTCAAGGCCCTTGGATAAAGGTAAAACCCAAACCTGGGTCTGTACCATGAAGCTCCATATGGTCTGGCCCTACCTGACCCTCTAGCAATGCAGCTTCTGTGTCTTCCCCTCACGCCGGCATTCGAGCTGCCTCATCCTTCAGAGTCCAGGACACAGCCAGCTCCTTCCTGGCACAGGGCCTTTGTACAAACTGTTCCCTCCTGTCACCCTTCAGACTGGAGCTCTAGTGTCCCTTCCTCAGGGAAGCGTTGCCTGACAACCTCCCCCTAGCCCCAGCCTGGGTCGGGTTCCCGGTCACTACCCTGGCTTCTTGTGGTAACTGGTTATTTAATGTCTGTCCCCCTCAGTGGCTGTGAGTTCCACAAGGGCGGGCACCACAGTGGTATGTGTTCAGCCCAGGGCTCAGTGAAACTGATGAGTGGCGTCTGTATCCCACCTTCTCTAGAGAGGGTACAGAGACCATGGGTTAGGACAGGGGCCATAAACAATGCAGCTAATCCCAGCTGGATGCTGGTCTCACCCTTGGAGCTTTCCAGGAACTGCTGAGCTATGGAGTCTGTGCATGACAGCCCAGAAAAGCTGCTGCTACTAGTTCCAAAAAGGAAAGGAAGGAAGGAAAGAGAGAGATGGGTGCTGACATTTATTGAACACCTATGATGTGTGCTACTGAGCATGCAGGCTGCTGGGCTATCTACTTTCTTTTTTTATTTTATTTATTTATTTATTTATTTTGAAAAGGAGTCTCACTCTGTTGCTCAAGGTGGAGGGCAGTGACGTGATCTCGGCTCACTGCAAGCTCCGTCTCCCGGGTTCACACCATTCTCCTGCCTCAGCCTCCAGAGTAGCTGGGACTACAGGCGCCCGCCACCACACCCAGCTAACTTTTTGTATTTTTTTAGTGGAGACGGGGTTTCACCATGTTAGCCAGGATGGTCTCGATCTCCTGACCTCGTGATCCTGGGCTATCTACTTTCACATGCCTTATTTCAGCTAGTCTATAGCAACCCTTAAAGGGTAGGTAATAGTGTCCCCATTTTCATAGGTAAGGAAAGGCTCAGAGAAGTTAAGCCATTTGCAGAAAGATTGAGATCTGCTAAGGCCCAGAGTCAGCTTTGGATCTCAGGTCGGCCCACCCCAAGACCCATGCTCTCCCCCTGATGCACACTAGCTGGAATCACGTTAGATGGGTAAAGGAACAACGGTCCCTGCCTGAGGGCCAGGGACCCCAGATGCCCTGGGGGTTATGTCAGGGGCCCGTGAGTCCATCTGAGCACCCAACATTGCCTGCCTCTGAATAAACTATATTTTTTCCACATCCAGATATAACGGTTTCCAAATAAATACAGATTCTGTCATGACTAATATAGTACCAATTCCTCTAAATGGGTTTGCTGAATTCATGGCAGTTCTGTGAAGGGCGGAAACCCAGGTGGGCACATGCATGCTAAAACGTTCAGTATGTAATGTGTTTTCCCTCCTGTGGGTTGAAGAGTCATAGGTGATGTACTGTTAAGCGGGGAGTGGGGAGCATAGCTCTTTTACCATTTATGCAAAAAAAAAAAACTTTTAAAATCTCCATACACAGATTCTTACTCATGCATTGATTCTGCAAGGATACCCAAAGCCACATCGTCACCCTTGGGGAGAACTCGGTGGCTCTTCATTGAATAACCATCTGTACCGCACAAATTTTGTATCATTTAAATAATTTAAAAATCAAAACTTTTAATAAAATTAAAATCATCAAAGGTTATAGCAAGAGGGCAACGCTTAACCCTGCGGTGCAACGTATTGAATTTCAGGCAAGAAAGTCCTGTGCCCTCTTCAGTTTCTACACAAGAGGAGCCAGCGATGATAATCAAAGAGACCGGTAATTGAGGCGAGGACTTTAACACCGAGTCACCTGAGGTGACCTTGCAAACTTGGCCTTTTGTCATAAAACAGGCACAATCATCACTGTGTTCCAGCCCTTCAGGGCTTTCCAAATGCCAGTGGCTCTGGGGAAGGAGACCTACTTTACGCTCTATAGGAACCTACCACGTGTTTCCTGTTTCTTTCCATGCTTGCCCCCCCTCACCCACCCCTAAACCCTGCCCCACCTCCACATGCCCCCTGCACCCACCACAAATGGCCACACTCACATGGACAGCACCTTCACTTCCAATATTTCGTGCCTCAGCTCCAGGCATCTTGTGGAGTTATATTCAAAAGGCCCCTCGTAAAATTCAAAGTACCTGGGGACCAACAGAGACAGGTTAAACAGAGAAGCAGGTCAGGATGTCCAGGGCCTGCAGGAGCTCTTGTTGCAGGGTGGAGTGTCTGTCCCAGTGAAATAAATAAAGCCAACCAGCCCCATCCCAGCAGATGACCCATTAGGGGCTTCAGGCAGACCACGGGGTCCTCTGGCTTGATCACTGGGTGGTCAGTTACTCTCAGCGCCCCGCTCCCCTGGGAGTGTAAACATTTACAGAAGCATAAACCGATTTCAGCAAACAGGGAAGTTCAGAAACAGGTTTGGTTCCAAGTTTGTGGCTGGGAAGGAGAGGGGAGGAAGAGGGATGCTGTGTATACTGTGATCAGAGAAAGCAGAGAGACCGGAGTCATTCTGGCACAGCACTGGGAGTCCGACAGTGAGCCTTCAGGCCTCCAGCTTGCCCTTCCATTCCCTGCCCCTTGCCCACTTGATCCTCGTGCCCATACTGTGACATAACTGAGACTGATGTGCCTTTCTCCCCATTTGGCAGCTGAGAATACTGAGGCTAATCAGACAGAGCTCCAGGTCACACTCTCCGTATAGGGCAGGACCAGGGCTTGGTCTAGGTCTACCTGCAGAAGAGACCAAGCCCCTTCCAGCACCAGCTGGCTCCAGGCATGTCACAGCCACCTCAGGGTCCCTCTGCCAGCTTCATGCAGAATATCAATGCCAATTTCAGCCAACACTTACTAAGCCCTTACTATAGGCTAAGCGCCAGGCCAAGTATTTGATGTGGATGGATGCATTCACTTTTAATCTTTCTAATCAGCCTATGAGGAAAGTGACACAAGCATCCTGAATAGGCTCTGGGAATTAACTAAGGTGCCAGACCCCCGGAGCTGGAAGGTGGCAGAGCCAAGATGGGAACCTGCATGCTGACTCAAGGCTGCTCTTTCTGCCACTTGGCTATGAGCATGGCTGGTGTCCCCTGGAAAGGGCCCTCTGGCCTCCTGTGGCAGAGGCCCAGTGAGCTCTCTCCTCATGGCCCCTCTCTTCTGGCGGTTGTTCAGAGGCAGGGGTGGATGGAGCTGGGAGGGTTGGATCCCAGGACAGCTTTAACATCATGAATCCAGAAGCCTGCAAGGCCAAACCACTGTAAATATGGGATCAGTGGCCTTGCAACAGGTAGTCTGCAAGAATCAGATGTGAGAGCGGCTCCCCAGGGCCAAGCATTGGAAATCAGGCATCGCTCAAGCATCTCCCAGAAACCACTACACGCAGCAGTGGTCATTTCCCACATACCCTTACACACTGGACAAACTTATGTATGTGCTGCTTTAGAAATGCTGAAACATTTTACCCAATATATTGGTTTCTTTTACAAATATTGGTAGTTTTATTATTATCATTGTATTTGTATTGTCATTTTGTCATTAAAATAATACTGTGATACTTTAAAAGTTATATTTATAAATATTTGTCCTTAATAATTTAAATATAATTTAATAGTTTTAAGTACTATAATTACATATTTAAATAATTTTACATAATATTTTAAGATATTAAAATATTTTCCACAACAAATTGGTCCCTATTTACAAAATAAATTGGCTCTTTGTTCTCATGTCATAAAAGAATTCAGGCCAAGTTAATAAGAAGTAGGTACTGAAGATCCCCAAAATATCAAACACCTTTGTGTCTTACAACTCCCTTTCTGTCTTTCTCATCTGGCAAACTCAAATGGATTTTTCAGTACCCGGCTCGAGTAACCACGCTGCTGGGAAGCCTCCTCTGATCCTGATCCTGGACTCCCGCTGCTCACTGTCTCTTAGTCAGAGCAAATAACATTGTATTGGGTTGGTGCAAAAGCAATTGCAGTTTTTGCCTTTTTTTTTTTTTTTTCATGTAATGGCAAAAACCGCAATTACTTTTGCACCTACATAATAGTACAATTGTGTGTTTATGTGATTGCGTTTCTTTCCAAACCACGAGCATCTCAAACACAGAGACCGTGTCTCTGTTATCTCTGTATCTTCTGTACTACAGAGGCAGGAAAGCTAAAAGTGACATTTCCCAGACTCCTTTGCAGGTAGGGTTCTGGATGCAATTTAGGTTCAGCCAGTTAGAAGCATTTGCATGAGACGGATTCAGACCTGTTATAGGGGAAGAATGGCAAGGCTCAAGGCACGGTTTTGCTGGTGCAGAATGTGGCAGAGGTGTCATGGCTCTTGGAAACTGCAGTAGTGGTAACACCTTCATGATTGTATCAGAGGCAGCAGCTTTCACGGTGGCCCCATTTCACTGCAGTTTGGGGAGGAATTCCTGGGAGTTCAGCCATTTCTTCAGCTTTCCCCATGAATCTGAGCTAGCTGTGCCCTTAATAAATCCTTTTCTTCTTTAACTAGCTAATGTAGATTCTGTTATCTGCAAATAAGAACAAGGGGTCAGCCTGGGGCCACAAAACAAGCCCATGACCTTGGCTCTGACTCACCTAATTTTCCAGTCACACAACAGTAAGCTCTGGTGTCCTATCACAAAGATCACTGTTTGCAACCTGAGCCGGTGTAACTAAGCCCTTTGGAATCCACTGAGTCAGGTAAAGCCGTGGTCCTAGGTTGTTGATAAGAAAAGGTCCAGATTCAAATGATGCAGGAAATCATTAGGTTGAGACTTATCCTAGAGTTCTTGGGAAATTGGAGACTTGCGGACACATCTCAGATACGGCTACAAACCAGCTGTGTGACTTTGGGTAAAACACTTCCCTTCTCTGCATCTCTTTGTTGTCCTCTTTAAAACAATCTGTTTGAACCAGGGTAGCATCTTCTCTTCAATCAGCCAGCCCTACCATTTCCTTGACAAAGCCATTCCTGCCTTGCCTCTTCCTTGGTTCCTCTTTCTCCTGCATCCTCAACATCACTCGTATACCCAACTAGGCAGCACCATGATTCCAAATGACCTTGTGCTGTGGGCTTGGTGATACTTAGAGAGGCTTTCAGAACTGGGTTCACACCCCTCCACCCCTCATTGGCCTCTGTATGGTCTGAAGGTTTGTATCGCCCCCATGGTTCATATGTTGAGATCCTAACCTGCAAGGTAATGGTATTAGGAGGTGGGGCCTCTGGAAGGTACTGCAGGCACAGCCCTCATGAATGGGATTATTGCCCTTATAAAGAGGCCCAAGAGAGACGCCTCTTCCCTTTTACTATGTAAGGATACAGCAAGGAGCGCTGTTGATGAACCAGGAAGTGGGTCCTCACCTGAAACTTAATCTGCCTTGATCTTGGACTTCTCAGCCTCCAGAACTGTGAGCAATACATTTCTGTTGTTTATAAGCTAAGTCACTCAGTCTATGGTATTCTGACAGCCACATTAGGCCTGGCACTTTTCTGCTCCTTTGTTTTCTCATCTGCAAATCAGCAAAAACAATGCAGCGCATGTGCGACAGGGCTGAGAAAAAAACACTGATGAGCATTTCATGGAAACCACTAGCACACAGGAACTACCCCAAAAATGCTCATTCCCCTCTGTCCCCTTTGTCCCGCCACTAAAGAGCACGTGATACCAGTGGATGCCACAGGGAGTCAGAGACAGTCTCTGACCATAAGCTGGTTGATGGCAGGGCTGAGTCAGGGATGAACAACTCGAAGCTTCTCACTGTGTGCACTGGTGACATTCTCCTTCTGCTGTGATTAGTAAACCTCTCCCCTGCCACCCTGTGGATAAAGCCCACACTAAGTCCTGCTTGGACACGGACCTGCTTGATCACCTCATCTCTGCTGGAGGCTCCACTCATTAACCATGTGCTTCTGATGCTTTGACACCTGGGGCCTTGCTGACCTTGGAGGGACTGCCTCTTCTAGGGCTAGCCAATTCCTAGAGATAGTGAAGGACTAGCCTGTGAGTGCACCTTTCATTTGCAAACCAATCTAGATCCCATGCCCCTATCAGGCTCCCATATTCTTGGACACTGGAATAGCTCCTGCCCCACTCACCCCAGGGCCAGGTCCCAGGCAACTGGGGATAGCCCCTACACCCCAGAACCCACTGAAATTACTCAGATCAACCAATCCTATACCTGCAAACCCTGCCTCACCAGTTCCTTTCCATGGAAATCCCAATGATGGTTCTTGCCCACACTTCCCCCTCGCTGCCTCTGCCTCCTTACTGATCCAGGCGCTTCTTCCCATGGTCTTGCAGGGCCTCCTGTTTCTAGGGATCTGTGAGTATCAAAACCTCTTCCTTCATGACAGTCATTTCCATATTTTCGTGTCTTACCATATCCGATTAAAACAAATCCCAGGCAGGTACCCTGAAAACACTCCATGTAGTACCTCAGCCAAGTCATCAAAACTATTCCATGCCTGAGTCTAAAGCCTCAGTTTTCCCATCTGGAAAATGTAGCTAATAGCCCTGGCTTCTTTCTCTATCCTACCTGGGCTTTGCTTTTTTGGTCCATACTGCTCTAGCTCAGTCTCTAAAGATGATTGACTTGAGGTTGCTATGGTCTAAATGTCTGTATCCCCAATACAAACATTAAGTTTCGTGTTTAAACTTAATCCCCAATGTGATGATATTAAGAGGCTGGGCCTTTGGGGGGTGATTAGGTTATGAGGTCTCTGACCTCAAGGATGGGATTAGGCCCTGATAAAAGAGGCTTCAAAGAGCCTTTTGCCTTTCCACCATGTGAGGATGCAGCAAGAAGCTGCCATCTATGAGGAACAGGCCCTCACCAGACACCAAATCTTCTGCCACGTTGATCTTGGACTTCCCAGCCCACAGAACTGTGAGAAATAAATTTCTCCTGTTACAATTATAAATGACCCAGTCTAAGCTATTTTGTTATGGCAGCCCAAAAGAACTAAGATAGGAATAAGATTTTGAAAAGCACTGCCCCATATTCTGCTTCTAACAGGATGCTCAAGGACTGCATTTTAGAGGGTGTCATGGAAATTCATGAAAATTCCCATTTGGTCTGGATACAGATATACAGACATCAAAAATGTTGCTTAAATTTTTTTGTCTAATGACATAAGAAGATGC